GGACGTCCGCGGCGTACTCAAAAGGCGGAGAATCTTCCCTGGAAGAGGACGCAGGGGACGCATGCTACCAATCGTCGCATGAATTCCAGATAACCTGCTGACCTAACATGATTTTACAAATCGGCCTCGCAGCTGCCACGGTGTCTGTTCGAACGATTAATAGCAAAAGTAAAATACAATAACGCACCCATCCAATCCCATTTTTCATAACAAAGATTTCAGTGTTTATTACATTGGTGTTACATGTCCATTTCCAGTGTGGTCCCTGGCTTTTAACGCAGGAACTGCTAAGTATGTTTGCAGAAGAAATAGCAGAAAAGCGTTTTAGCCCCCCTTGAATTCGCGAGATACTCAACTCTGTTCTAGTACTCTAACCACAACACGGATAGGATCGTGTTGTTTGTTGTAGGCGATGAGTACTCGATTGACCACCTCTTTCGAATGTCCCCGTGAAAACAAATCAGCTTGGGACACGTTGCCTTTTGTGCGTGGCTCTCATTGGGACATCGCGGTGCCTCAGTCGTATCCTCTCCGCCCCCCCCCCCCCCTCCCCCTCCTCCTCTGGTGCACCGGGAAGATGCGATTGCAGTGTATGTATTCAAAGGTATTGCAACAAAATTTACAAGTTAACCGTTCATAGTTACCGATCTCGACAGGTTGGCCTTCTGATGAGCTGGGAGACAGGTGACGGCTTAGATTTGGTGTAATCTGACAAACAAATAATGTCCGCAGGCAAACACGTTTGTCAAGGAAATCGTTTTTAGCAGGCTTCAATGAGCATGCTATAACCTGGTGTACGTTATATCGCGCGCAGCAAACGGCATCAGCCATATTATGGCGCGGTGCTGAAAAGATCGTAGTTTCCTCACTCTACATTTGCGAGCGAACTGCAAATGCAACCACATGACTCCACGCAACGTCGCATCCTGCCGAAACCCTGCCGGACCAAGGACAGCAGCTACGACACATGAACCCAGGAGGATCGTTGCAGCTAGGCTGTGATCAATTAATTCGAATGCTTATCGTGTTAAAGTGTCTCTCATCGGAGAAAATCAGGTTAGGGCGTGTCAGAGGTAAAAAAGCTTGCGTCTGTTTCGCACAAAACACAAATGGTCCGATTTGTCTCTTCGACTGTCGCCCTGATTCGCCGTTTTTCACAGCGCGCACTGAAAGAAGGGATGTGATCCCAACCCCTTAGCAAATCAGTGAAGATAGAGCCTAGCGGAAGATACCAGTGGATTGGCCTCAACAGGATCTCACGATTGCTATTAGCATTCATGTTGTTAGCTTAATAATTGAACCCATTATGTCCGGTCAAAGGTAGAGCTTTTAAGAGAATCACAGTTCAAGTTTGAATCATACCTGCGTGACATCTGGGGGCACGCAATATAAACAGGTGTGTTCCTTGTTTTATTCTGAGTGCAATGGTGTTTACTGCATGCGTTTTGAGCATATATGTATGACTTATAGCTCCGCTAAAGGGGATATTTCACATTTGAAGATATGAAGACAAGCATCAGGTGTGATGATATAACTTGGTATGCTTTTTAAGTGGAAAAGATTGATCAATGCGTCACAATGCTCCGTTTAGTAAATATTCTCCTCAATTCGTCATGGTCTGATTATGTCATTGTACCTCGCACAACATTAAATGAGAGCCAATGGACGGTCGTTATATCTAAAGGCCGCACTCCCGATCCCCAGATATGAACGCCTCGACAATTCTGTTTTCGGCCTTGATCGCCGCATGGCTTATGGAATGGCAGGATTTGAACAACTTTATTTTGACGTCATGAATGCCAAGGTGGCTTTGAAATACTTTCCCCAATATACCTTTCCCCATTTTCGCGAGCGTAGCTCAGAAACTAGGGCGGCTCAGGTCTTAAGAAGGGCAGGATTGTGAACAGCACAGTAAGGTCTTTAAGCTGACTATTTCAATTCAAAGCCCCATATAAATGTGGGGCACTCTCTTTAATGTGACAGCGTCGGCCCACCACGCGTTCTAGAGCACCGTCGGTCGCCGCCCGACGCCTCAGCCTGCCGTGCAGTGTTCCTGAAAGCCGTCGCTGCTTCCAAACCAGAAAAGCTAAGAACACGTTTTTGATACTAAAACACGCACAATGGATACCCCACAGGCTACTGAAAGTTTGGGCACGATTCCAAAAAACTATCCAAGATGTATCCCAAAAAACCTTCAGGGTAAATCATCCGCTTATCAGCGCGAGGGTTTACATGCTTTGTAGCCAGAGAAAGGAAACCACATCTCAGGCGTGAAAATTGTTGGTTTTTTCAGCTGCATTCTACTACCTTTTTGGGAAATTGAGCTGTATCTTTTTTCTGTCAGCCAATAAGTCTATGATAATACCAATAAGAGCAATGTTTATAAGGTATTCCAATTACGTATGTTGCCAAAAAAGTGCGTGCAGCAGACCAACCCTTGCCTCATATACATAGTACTCACATGGCATATTGCTATCACATGTTCTAGGTATCCATATTGTACAGAAGTATCTTTCCAAAGAGTGCGTTACTTGCATGAATGAAGGCACCATGTAACCACACATGATATGGATTGTTTTTCATGCAACACCAACTCATCTATCAAGTGGAGCCGCAATCGACGTTTCGTGAAAGAATGTGTAATATAAGTCTGAACAAGGAGGGCGTTACAGTCTCCTGTCATGAAGGGTAGTCACTGATATTAGTCCCCACGCTCGTTGGGGACTTGACGCTTTTTACTTCTAGGACGTGCTTTCATTGTTGACGTTGGCATGCGATTAAAACTTGGCCAATGCCCTTGGTCTTTAAAACATGGCTTCGAAGAGGCGACGCTGCGTAATACCGTGCAACATTTTAACTGCAGCGAGGGAAGTTATGCTGCGTTTGTACGCGTGTGAGTGTTGATGCACAGTTTGCTGGATAATTGAAGGGGGGCCTGCACTTGACACTCAAATTAAAACGATATAGCACGGCTGGCTCTCAAAACAAAATAAAGGAGACGTCGCGGCGTTTGGTACGCGAGATATCGTGAACAGGAGCTCGGGCAGACTCGTGGACCCGGCGGTTCACATTTGACATGCTTACCAAAGGCGATGTCGCGCCTAGTTCTGAGGGCAGAATAAAGGCGACGCCGCAGCGACTTCAAAACCGCTGCCAAAACCTCTCCACAGAGAGTTATCGGACCCCAATCTGGGGTGTTCAACATTCGCCCACTAAATGACTGCAAAACAGTGCGCCTCGCCTCTACACAGCGATCATCCATATGTCGCAAACGTCTGCAGGCCTCGGCTGACCGCGATCAGCTCAATGACGTGGCGCCGCCCCGCTCGACCAGTCACCGCCGCCGCCGCAGGAGTGTGGTCCGTGGCAGAGCCATGCTGTGGAGCTGGGAACGGCCTAGGGGCGGGGCAAGGTCGCTGACTAAGCTTCAGCCTTGCTCCCAGCATCCAGGAAATCGACCGCGGTCGTACGTTGGTATTGTGGAGGCTTGATGCCATATCACCTGGCTTAGCACCATGTTTCTGGTGTAGACGAAATATTTCTTATACTTACGAATTCGTTGTGGTTATAACTGCTTCTGCTCATGGATTGTGTGCGGCAAATATGCCTTGCAGGGATGCAGCTTTCTATTCATTTGGCGGCTTCAGCCGCTCCCCCCCCCCCCCCCCACCTTGGATCCTGGACCCCTAGCTTAAAGAGAAAAGTAGACCGGTTCCGGCGCGAAATCCCTTTGTCGGCAAATTTTGGGGGACGCTTCATGGTCAACAATTCAAGCCCAGCTCCCTTAGCGGAACTAGCAACCTGCTATCTTATGTTATAAAAGGGCCCACAACGCCGTAATGCGCACTTGTTCGACCTCATACGCTGGCTGATGAGACTGCATCTCAAAGCTTGTTTTTGTATGCAATGCGATTCTGTATTTGCATTCAACACCCAAACGTAAAACCTGCAGCAACACTCGTGCCTGTTGATACGTGGTCCGTTGTATGTGAGTGGAACATGAATAACAGAGGGAACCTGAGAACGTGAATGCATCGCTTCGAGGAGGCAAAACAACAGCTTTTTCATCCAACTTTTAATCTGAGAAATCAAGTATTTCGAACGATGCGGCACTGAGTACGTCTGTGCCAAAATCAAATTTATGTTTCACGAGATGCGGGTAGCCCGCGTCCGGACACCACTTGGTTACACGACAAAAAAAATACAACACTGGTATCTCAACAAAACAAGCGACACAACAAACCATGACCACAAACCGCGACCATGCTGTCCGCTCCCAAGACACCTGTCGCCCTGGGCGCATTAACAAACATCACAAAACAGCATTCCCTGACGACTGATGACCCGGGCACTGCACGCGGCCGGAGCCGCGCCAGCGCTGACACGGACCCTGCCCTCGTGTCAGCGAGACAGGCAGCAGGCGCAGAGAAGGCACGGCCCTCTCTGGGGCCAGGCCGGCGCCACCGGACGCGACGCTCCGCTCACCAGTAATCCACTGACACGCGCTTCACATCCAGATCAGTGCACTTCTCTGAACATCCTAAGCTCAGAAATGCAGCTCCTAACGCAACGCCGTCCGACCGGCAGTGCAGCGGTCGTAGCAGTCGTAGCAGTCGTAGCAGTCGTAGCAGTCGCAGCAATGCAGCAAGAAACACGGCCGGCTGGCCAGGACGGAAACATGGAATTGCTGAGTGTCGAGTCGGGGTACACCAGCACGCAATGGACCGTATCGTCAGGTTGATTGTCACCCAGTTCCGACGCGATCATTCGTAGAGCAGCATCGCCTATTACCAAGGCATCACTGCTCTCTCACCACCAATTCTTGTCGCCCGGACTGCTGCGCTTGCCGACTTTGCCGTCGCCGGTGCAGTAACAGCACCGCAAGTACCATCGCGGTCACAGGTCTGACTTCACGCCGCCTCCATATCTCGGCCTCTGCAGCCGTGCAAGTACTGGTCAGCCGCCAGCTCTCCGAGATCAGCCTCCACCACCGTCCGTCGCTAGAGCCGGCAGGCCTCCTTAACCTGGTCGACGGCGGTGGGCAGCCAGGGCAGCCGCTGGAGCGCGTGCAGCGGGCAGCCGCGGCCGCCACGGCCGCCGCAGCCGAGGTTCAGCTGCTGCAGCGCACCGGTGCTGCCTAGCCGACGCAGCAGCCGCACCGAGCGGCCGCCGGCGGGCTCGCGGTGCAGCTCCAGCAGCAGACAGCTGGAGGTGGGCAGCGGCTCGACGTACAGGCCGAGCGCCGCCTCCAGCGCCGCCAGCGTGGTGTCGTGCGCCGCGAACACGGCCACACGCGGCGTTCGGCGTTCGGCGCGCGCGTTGACCAGCAGCGCGTTGTTCAGCAGCGTGCGCAGCAGGCCGCCGGCCGAGAGGCGGCGCAGCGCTGGCGCGCCCTGCGCGCCGAACGCCAGCCGGAAGACGCGCTCCATGCCCGCGTAGATGGTGACGCCGCCAGCGGACAGCGGCCTCTCCACCCAGTCGGGCAGCCGCAGGCCCAGCGCGCGTTGCGTGCGCAGCACGTCGAACACCTGCACGAGCTCGAAGGCGGTGGCGTTCGGCACGCCGGCGTGCTCGGCCAGCGCGCGCTTGAGCGCCGGCGCCGTCAGCCGGTACTCGGGCGTGCCGTGCAGCTCCTTGGCGATGCCGACCAGCAGGCGCGGGCAGCGCTCCTGCGAGATGAGCCGCAGCACGAAGTCGCCGTCCTCGGGGAGCACCTGCACAGGACAGCGCGGCGTGTGCGCCGGCAGCAGGCCGCCGTCGTACTCCACGGCGCCGTCCCGCCCGACGCCGTCGAACAGGCCCAGCAGGAGGGCGCGCGCCGACTCCTGGGTGCGGTTGCGGTCAGAGGCGACCACGCACAGGTCACGGCACGGGTCAGCCGCCAGGAGAGCGCCGTAGCGCCGCCACAGGAAGGCGCCCAGCTCGATCTGATCGCTGACGCCGGCCGGCACCAGGTTGCTGCGCCCGTTCAGCCACTGCAGGTCGCCGTGTGGGTCCGTCGGGTAGGAGGTGGTGGGCGCGCGTGATCCATGCCGGCACACCGCCTGCACCTGCAGCAGGCTACTGGGGGCGGGGAACGCCGCGTATGCCATCCCTGAGGTCCCTGCGGAGGTCACCGGCGCGGCAGAGTTCGCGGCCAGCAGCGCCAGCACCGCGACGCGAGACGTCACCGAGACCGCTGCGCTCCGAAGGCTCGCCATGGCGGACAATGTGGCGGCACGGCGGCGACCGGCGTCTTATAGCGGGCGGAAGACGACCCGGGCCCGGCCGCGGTCTGGGGGGCGCTCTGACGACACGGCTGGTGTGACTCACCGGCGCCCCGCCGCCGCCGCCAGGGGCGGACACGGTGCGGCACGACGGGCGCATCCGGCCCTAGGACTGTCCTGTTGTGGCCTGGCACGACACGGTGGGAACGCGTCGGAAGCTGACGCGGAAGGTTTGCGCTGACGCTCCTGGAACGGGTAGTTAGAGCGCTTCCGCCTGGACACGCCACTTTCGTGACCGGCACTTTCACTCGTGCAATCGGCAAGAGAGGCCTGCACACACGAATTTATGGCATTGCCTAATGTATTCACTCGAGGTGACGAATTGAGCAGTGCGGATGGTTGAAGCACCACTGCATCGATGCTTCGATATGGTCAAGGAACAAATAACGGTGATGTCCAGGCTACCACAAATAGAAAACACTTGGTTGTAGGAAACATGTTTTTCCCGTTTGAATATCCTGACAATGTGCACCGCAAGTTGCCGAAACACATTGGAAACATGCATCAAGTGCATTCAGAGCGAAAAGATGCTGGCATGGTTAAACGTGAGCAGGTCAGAACCCGAAGAGTTTCCATTCTCATGGCTCCTGGGATGAGATACACTCGCCTTCACGCTGGCCAGATGGTCCCATCAAGATAGTCCCACGCTGTCAAGATCAGATCAAGATAGTCCCACGCTGTCTGCCCTCCGGGCTGTGCCCATGGGCGGAGTGAAGGAGCCAGCCGAGCTTGCCAAGCAAATGCCATTAGAAGTTGATCTTTAAAAACTTAGAACAGTGTATGTGGTTATTGTGAAAAGGAACAATTCATCCAGTGATACCTGGCGTATGATCCCGAGCTTCTTGAAACGCTTTTATCAATATTGTTTTGCGAAACCCCGATGTGTCACTGCAACTATGGGCTGCTTGTACGAATTATGGTATGTAATGATGTACATGATGCATATCATTACCTAGTGTGACCAACAATGATGCATCGCATTAGTGCGACAAATAAAAAATCATCACCGAGCGACGGGCTGGTGACCAGACTGTCTCGCGGTGACCCTTGCATACCGCTGCCGTTTTCATCACATTCCACACTTCGTCTTTGTTCTGACACCCTGTAATGGTAGCTCGCTGCTGCTCGCTGCTACGCAAGACAAGTTTATGCAGTTTTTTTACAGTAATTACTCCGAGTGGATTTTTCCAAACCGGCAAAATGCGTGGTAAATGCATCGCAGGGTGGAGCTTGGGCCTCTGGAGAGTAGCCCCACATCCTGAGCGTGACCTCGTGACCCCTTCGGAGATCAGAGGTCAAGGAGGCTGGAATAAGCAATAATGCCAGAGAGACCTGAGTAACGCGGCAGCTGATGGTGTCCAGGAAGTCGCGCTGTGGCCGCCGGACGCCCGGACGCACCTGATGCTCACTGCTCGTGCCCACTGGCGGCCACGTGCTCATGCTGTTCATCTGCAACGTGAACGACATGCTAAAAAACCTTGGTGGGAGATGCTTGCTTTGCTGCGTGAAGGAGACGGGGAAGGAGCAAATGATGATCACAGACGCTAATAAAGACATAAATAAAGAGGTCCCAATATAATGCTAGAGACCAAAAAACAGCAAGTAAGATAAGACGGTAATAGCAAGGGCTCTGGGTACAGATTCGGCATAAAGGAAGACGGGAAAGAAGAACGCAGAATCCGAATAAATACTTTGTTTTGGCTAAAGGGATGAAACTGGAACAGTGAACGAGACGGAAAATCCAGTCGTTGGGAGACATAGGTTTGTTTGGACGCCAACCCAAGAACAAAGAAACCGAACACGCAAGAAACTTTTAATTAGCAGATGCGGACAACAGCTACCTTGCACTATTCGACCAACGTCTTTGACCAAAGGTGAGCATCTCGACCAATGACACCAAACAAATGCAGTGTCATAGCCCAGCAGCCGTCAGTAACCAGCGGTTCGATTTATCTCGCCTTTCAGCCCAGCGACAGGTTGCCCCATAACGCAGCATGGACGCATTCAGCACGCCGATTAGCGTCGTGTGTGGGTTTGATGCCTCTCGCCTCTGACGTCAGCCGTTGTTTGTTTCAGGTCTCAATGTCGATTAATCCGTAGTTTCGGGTAAACCTGTGATGACGAGCTGACCTACGCAGAACGCCACCTGTGCCCGGAAGACGGGCCAGACCGCATGCGCTTGCATAACGACAAAGTGATCATCCGAAAGAGTCTTCAGCACGTGAACACATTTGCGTAGACAAATTGGGCCATCGACATCCAAGTTGGCGACAATGCGAATGCAGGCAGCACCAGTGCATCTCCATCGCAGGCTTCGTGAGTTTGGCAAACTCAACGCCGCGAATACTGGTCTATGCTGCCGCTGATATTCACGAGCCCCGCCGCGGAATATCAGCGGCAGCACAGAGCCGCTGATATTTCACGAGCCCCACGGACACAGCACTGGGGCTCGAGCCGGGCAGTCAGCTGCGGACGGCGCTCCGGGCCGAGTGCGTGGGCGTGACCTCTGCGCCGCGGCATGGGCGCGACCTCTGCGCGGTGGACTGGGCGCGACCTCTGCGCCGCGGCCCAGGCGCGACCTCTGCGCGGTGGCCTGGGCGCCACCTCTGCGCCGCGGCCCTGGCGCGACCTCTGCACCGCGGCCTGGGCGCGACCTCTGCGCCGCGACCTGGGCGCCACCTCTGCGCCGCGGCCTTGCGCGACCTCTGCGCGGTGGCCCGCGTCCGGCGCGGCCCGGGTGTCGCGGATGGAGGCCTATCACGCTCGGCAATGACACCGGTGTCCGGCGCGCACGGCACCGACGTCCGGCTGACGTCCGCGCTGCGGTTCCGGCGCCACTCGCAGGCCCCTCGCGCCAATCGCCGCTGAGTCAGCCGGGGCGGGTAGCCCCCGGGGACGGCGCTCTGCACGATCGGGATGTAAAAGTGGAGTGCCTTGGTGATGTCACCACGCGTCACCACCTGGCTGAGCGTGATAGGATCGGTAGCGATGCACGGATGTGAAACAACAGAAGATGCTCGTGACGAAGTGTCGCGGTTTGCACCATGTGTATTGCCAGGCAGACTGGTGTTTTACATATAGCTTGGCTCGGGGTCAGACCTGTGGGCTATTCTGAGGTATTTGACGTCACAAGGCCTCTTGCAGGAAGCTTCAAACGGTAACTTCGTCGCTTTGAAGGACATAACGGAAGCCGACACATGGTGAGGGCAAAAAGCGTCATAAACAGGGGCGCACCCAGCGGCTTGGTAGGGGGGGGGGGGCACAGGGGTAATAAATAGCCCCTTGTTGATGAAAGCCCCCTCCCCCAAAATTCAGTCTATTGATTGACTTGGTTTTGAGGGGCACAAATTTCTTTCTTTTTATATTTATTCTCCTTCGACTGAAACGGAGCCAGAAACTCTAGAAGATGCATTTCAGTTTGCCTTTGAAGGCGATTCACTGAAGGAACCAAACGCTAGATACCTGCAATGAATAGATCGCCACCGCCATTTATCTTACAATGATTTGGTTAAGTCTTTTTTAGCCGACAAGACCCAGGAGTTGTCCGGAATTTTGCTGGGTTCTATAGAGCTATGCACTCCGTGGATTGACCGTGAATTGTGGGTCGAAAGGGGTTCAAACGTTTGTCTTGACATATGCAGCCCATGTTATCAGGATAAGTCTGTCCTTCATTTGGAGTAGGGTGCTGAAAAAATGTAAACGTTGTGAGGCAAGCGACAGCGTAAGGCCTCAGCAATGAGGAGGCCCAGCACCCGGCGTTGTACTCCCCACGGGTCGCACGGCGTCGCTCTCGAGGTGTGAGGCAGGCGACAGCGTAAGGTCTCAGCAGCTGAGAAGGTCTGGCGCCCAGCGTTGTACTCCCCACGGGTCGCGCGGCGTCGGTCTCGAAGTGTGAGGCAATATAATAAGGCGACAGCGTAAGGTCTCAGCAGCTGAGAAGGTCCGGCGCCCAGCGTTGTACTCCCCACGGGTCGCGCGGCGTTAGTCTCAAGGCAAATGCTAGGCGGCGGTCAACTAGCGGACGAAACGTTCACGTATCTTAAAGAAGCACTTCTCATTGCCTTCTGTATCCATTCGTACGTTCAGAAGCCAGCGCGGGTGGTCTATTTTACTCGTGCGATTGCCAGATAGAGCTCTCAATGCAACAGCGTAATCTCTATTTTGTTATTCCCATTGCTGTAACTGTACAACTGTTCCAAGGACAACACCAAAATCCACATATGAAACATGCATCCCATTCTAATCGCTAAAGCAGCGGAATAATTTTGAAAGACTCTGACAAGCATTATTCATCGTCGTTGTCGCGCGCCCCTCGCCTGGTGTTAGCTGCAGCGGCTAACGACGCTCGGTTGGACGAAAACTGCAACGCCCGGCGTCGATGTAGCTGCCCATCAACATTGCAAACGCGCAGTGTTCTCTGTTTTTTTTTTAAAACAGTTTTAGAGTGAACATGAAGAAGATACTTAAACTGTCATGGGCAAGAGACTCCATGGGTAGAACAACGGGGGTGGGGGCACATTACCTTTCCCGGCCAGGGGCTCAAGTGCTCTTACGTCCCAGCCCGGGCTACCCCAACTGTCATTCTGATGAGATGGGAGCTGGGCCCCCTGGTGGATCCTGAGGCCTTCAGAGCAGTACATGATGCATCGATCCATTCCCTGACGCGAGAGGCCCTCTGAACGGGGCAGTTGGACCTGGTTCGACGCAGAGGCCCTCACTGACGCAAAATTATACCTTACTGGCGTAGCGGGGCCAATAACTGGTACAGAACCTCCAGACCACCTCATCGTGCCCCCAGCTGAAATGCAACGGATGCCCCATGCGGTGACGGGGCCAATATATGAGAGAGCTCTCCATTGTGTCTTGTTGAACTCTTTCGTCGTACGTTCTTATCCTTATTTTATTGCCAGAGGCCCCGTTCAGC